AAACAAACACCGTTTGTAATCGTCCAAAGACAGATGGTTCCGGACGACGTGTCCGCGGATCCCCTTAGACTTTATGAGTTCGCTGCCTTCCATGTCAAATGCGTAGCACTTTGATCGAAGTGCAGCGATCTCAAAGAGAGTGAGGCCACTGGTCTCGTCTGAAAACAAGCCGGGCATCTTCTTTCTATCGGTGGAGTAGCAAGGGTGATCCTTGGGCAGGCTAGATGCGTCCACGTGCACCAGTAAATCGGGGCTACCAGCTAAATCCTGGTAGAAGTCGCCTACTCTGAGCAGGTATATGAAGGAGTCTGAGAAAAATTAAAAATATATAAATATAAAAAATATTTCTACTGTACGGTTGTACTCACCAGTATCCATGTAAACCAATTCGATTGCACTGCCATAATGTGGTTTCAATACGTCGTAGAAGTACTTGTACATTAGCGTCTTGCTAATGTCAAGCACTGCTAAACCGACGTATATTGGTTTGATAAACTTGACCATCTTTGTGTCCATTATGACGGCGCACAACCTTTCACCGTATTTGATACGGTCGTTGATAGTTGGTTGGTTTACGAGCTTGCTTAGACGTTCGGGACTGGAGATTAGCTCAATGCGGATGCGTTTCTGCATGTTCTCCATTGTTTTCCCTATAAAATGTAAAAAATTATCGAATAACCCACTTTAGCATTGAGCATGCACTTACCAAAGACGGCATTATTCATTAGTTTGAAAAATGCAATTTCAAAAGCATTTGCCGCCTTTTTCCGCATTTCAGTGTTCAACTCAATGTATGGTTTCAACCAAGCACTTTGTTGAAACTCCAAAACGCGGTGCACCTGCAGTACAAATATTTATATTAGTATCATCGCTTATAGTTTATAGGTTAACTATACATACTTTATCGACTTGCAGTCCGTGTGCGATCGCCTGTTTAAGATTAACGTAATGTACGACGTACCGCTGTTTGGGTTTCAAAGTGGCCATGAGTTTGGTCTCTTTGGAACCCGGCGGTACATCGTTGACAGGCAAGAACGGCAAGTCGTTGTGCTCGTCATGCACATGCAGCAGATACGATACGTTCACTTCATATATACGCCCCGTATTACCAGTGTCCGACAACGATTGGAGGTCAGCCAGAGGGTCTGCTCTTTTATACCACTGAAAGCCACCGTACGGCATGGGCTGACTCATAGCCCACCCGTAAAGGTTATTGCCTGTATACATTAAACGTTTTTAAACCACCGCTCAATTATTGCACGTTTATATATATATACGTATAGATTACTTAGTCTTGGTACACTATCCATGAGTCTGGTTTTGACGGATCGTAATCGGGTGTCTTAGAATTGTTGGCCTTTGCATAGTGCTTGACGGCCTGCACTAGCCCACCACGAATGCCCTGTTCCACCATCAGTAGCATGTCGTAGTCGTTTAAGAGCTCCAGCTTCATCCTGGTGTATTTCAACATACAATCGAAGCTAAAACCGGGCGCGGTGTAATAATGCGCCGGGTCCAAATTGTATGTTGAAATACAGATGTCGCGGATGTTCTCAAACACATCAGCCAACAACAACACGTCGATCTTAAGATATAGGTCGCTGTACTCGCCGAGGGTTAAGCAGTCGAAACGGTTCCACACCTCCGTGGCATGTCTATAGTCGTCTTCATCAATATTTGACTCACTCAACTGACTATATAAAGCGTCCTGAGGTGGTAGTTCCGTTTTGTCCAATTTAGCCCAACTATCAGTGTACTCGTAGGGATATACGCCCTTACGCGTCACCAACGGCATGTCTTCCGGGCGGAACACCTTGGCCGTCTCCCGGAATTTAACGAAGTCGGGTGTCATTAGGTTACCGGCCAAGGTGGACAGGGAGGAGGCTATGAACCGGAAGGTGTCGACAAACCGTATGGAGAAGTTATTGGTCACGTGTTCCGTGACCGAAATATACTTCTCCTCGGAATTCGGTATGACCGAAATCCTTTGGTCGTCGTACCCCAATTCAGTGACGATGAAATGCGCGTCGTAACCTGAAAGATTGTGCAAGAAGCATGGAACAAAGTTAACCGTCTTTACTTTCAGGTTACAAACATTGCACAACATCTGTCTGAATCGGCCCGATAAATGGCAGTGGTCTGCAACTTTGGGGTTGGAATCCTTGAATGCCGTGCGGCACAAGTCGCATACCACT